TGTATGAACACTAAAGTATTCTTCTCCATGTCACTGGACTTTATTGCAGAAGAATCAGAGATTAGGAATCCATTTTGTTTAAGAAAATAAAACATTTAATGTATTAACCTTATATAAAAGAAAATATTAACAATGATTTAAAATTTCAGTATCTCACTTCAAAAAATGAATAAAACCTAGATAGATCAGCTAAGAAAACATGAATGATGGGGTGGAGTAATTGAACTAAAGCTAACAGCTATTTCTCTAACATACCATCTAACAGTTATGATGAGAGTAAACATCAAAAAAGTGTTCAAAGCGGGGTGCTGGTGGCTCACACCTGTAATCCTAGCTACTCAGGAGGCTGAGATCTGAGGATCAAGGTTCAAAGCCAGCCCAAGCAGGAAAGTTCAAGAGACTCTTATCTACAATAAACCACTCAGAAAACCCGAAGTGGCATTGAAGCTCAAGTGATGAGCGATAGCCTTGAACTGAAGAGCTTAAGGACAGCACCCAGGCCCAGAGTTCAAGCCCCACGACCAACAAAAAAATAAAAAAAAGTTCAAGTTTCTTGGCACTTTTTTGTGTGGGGGGGGGGAGGAGGGTTTCCAGTTTTCTGCTGGTTTATTGGAGATGAGTTTCACATACTTTCCTGCCTGGCTTTGAACCACGATCCTCAGATCTCAGCCTCCTTAGTAGCTAGGATTACAGGTGTGAGCCACCAGCACCGGCTTTCTTGGCACATTTGAGAGTACCTTGAAGAATGGTCTGGCTATGGGCAAAATAGACATGGATGGAGAAAGGAATGCTATTTCAGCCAGTGTTAATTATAGGCAAAACTATGGTAGAGTTGCTATATCTATGAGTTTAATTGTTTAATTCTGTGGAACTGAAAGATGCATACAGGAAAAAGAACAAAATAAGATTGTTGGTTTCCTTTTATGTCAAGTTAAGAATTAAATATAATATAGTCAATAGTCAGCCATCAGGTATTTGACCAGAACTCTGTTTGGGGGATGATATTTTGTACGAACTAAGTTGAGAACCCACTGGGAAGGCTGTATCTGAAAAATCAGGTGAGAGTGAGGAACTTAATATAGGTGATGGGGTCAGAGAGGAAGGAAGAGGTGGGATTGATTCTGTGAAGAACTTGGCAGCTCATTTGGGAAGAGAGAATAATCCATAATTGACTATTAGTTGTTGTGCTTTAGGCTAGAATGATAGTACTCTTTAAAAAGGTGTGTAGGGGGAAGGGAGCTGACCGTGGTGTCAGATACCTGTCATCTTCATACTCTGGGTGCCGTAGCAAGAGAATTACAAGGTTAAGGCCACTCCGTACTACTAGGGAGACCTTATCTCAAAGGAGGTGGGTATAAAAATGGTTTAGTGATAAAGAGATTTCAAGACAGAAAGGGAAGACATTTAGTAGAGAAGAAAGGAAACTTGACAAGTCTTTATAAAACAAGAGATTGGTTTTAAAAGGTGATTGAGAGATGACTCCCTACTTCCTAGATTCACCTTCTCACAAGCCTTTTAACTTGGACATTACACTCTTTGGGACTCACATTTTCTTAAATGGGAATGAGGATTATATAGCTATCTAATGTTGCTGATGAGAAATGTGTACATGTACATACAGGCACAACTTACTCGCACTGCCTGCTGCAGTATGGTTATTCCACACATGAATCCCTTTTCAGAATTGAATCTCTGTGAGACTGGCATTCCAAGGGAAAGGGCAGAGCTAAAGACACAAGGTAATTTCCTCTATTTTGTACAATTGATATAGGCTAATATAATAATATCTAAGGTATTGATACATAGGATGAGATCTCGTAATAAATGTGGAAGAGGCAAGAGTATATAGGAGGGACCAGTGAAGGAACATTTAGAGAAAAAGAGGGAAAACTAAGGGTACTCTCAAGACATCTAAGAGGAATCAAAAAGATAAAATCTAGGAAAATTTAGAGGAGAGCCCAGGTGAGCCACGTTTTAAGGTCTGGGGTATTATGTGATGAATAGAAAGAACATGAAGCTCGGATATGGAAATTGATAGAAGTTAGTTTTGTGAGGATCCATGTAATAAGAGGAAGGAAGATCATTTCCTTCTTTGATTTGGGTTAAAAGAAAGGAATATTGTACTATAATCAAATTTTGAGTTGGAAAGTTTGGAAGTCAAGGAAACTTCTGCTGGATTATTTGAGTATGTTTCTAATGAGAAGCAGTGCCATCTGACTAGAAAGAGGTATGGAATTAAATTTCAGTGCTTCTAAGCAGCTTCAAGTATTTTCTCTAAGTCTGTCCTTTATGTGAGTAGAAAAGAAATGACTTATTTTGATTATAATAGGTAATATTAGCCGGGCACCAGTGGCTCACGCCTGTAATCCTAGCTACTCAAGAGGCTGAGATCTGAGGATCTCGGTTCAAAGCCAGCCTGGGCAGGAAAGTCCATAAGACTCTTGTTTTTGTTTGTTTGTTTGGGTCCGTCGTGGGCCTGAACTCTGGGCCTGGGCGCTGTTCCTCAGCTCTTCACCTCAAGGCTAGCGCTCTACCACTTGAGCCACAGCGCCACCTTCCCAGCCCACGTCCATGAGACTCTTATTTCCAATAAATCACCAGAAAACCAGAAGCGGCTCTGTGGCTCAAGTAGTAGAGTGCTCCCTTTGAGCTGAAGAGCACAGGGACAGCGCTCAAGCCCAGAGTTCAAGCCCCACAACTGACAAAAAAGAAATAGGTAATATTTACTGATATATCTACCAGTCCTAAATATCTCTTATCATGATAAGAACTTATTTTAAAGTTAAACACCCCTAAGAGTCAATATTTTAGGAAGTAATGCACAACAAAGAAAAGGTAGAAAATTGTTCAAGGTTTCCCAGCTAATAAAAAGTAAGGCTAAGATAGAATACCAGATCTGGTAAACTTGAAACTAACAGTCACACTTTCTGACATTTTACTCTAGCTGTGGCATGGCTCAAGTGGTAGAGACGCGCCTAAGCAACCTCAAGGCCTCAAGTTCAAACCCTAGTATCACCAGAAATACAAATGTGTATGTATGTGTATGTGTGTGTGTGATATATATACATACACATATTAATGGGAAAGGTATTTAAAAGTATAGAAAATGAATGAAATATAACTAATAACATTAACACTCCATAAGTAAAAAAAGAATGTCTTATTTGATCTTATTTGATAAATGTACTGGGGCAATTGATTTGTTTATGTTTTTGGGGGTGGTTGTTGTTTTTTTTGGGGGGATGAGGGGGGTTGGTGTCAGGCCTGGGGTTTGGACTCAGGGCCTGGGTGTTGTTCCTAAATTTTTGTGCTCATAGATAGTCCTCTACCATTTGAACATCAGTTCCACTTCTGACTTTTTAGTGGTTAATTGGAGATAATAGTCTCATAGACTCTCCTGCCTGGGCTGGCTTTGAACCTCAATCCTCAGATCTCAGTCTCCTGAGTAGCTAGGATTATAGGCATGAGCCACCATTGCCCGGTTGACATTAAATTTTTAATTAAACTTGATCTCAGTACATTTTCAGATATATAGTTGAAATCAGAACAGTAGTTGTCCCTGACAAAGGAGACCATTATTTAGGGCACAAAGAAACATTCTGGAATAATAAATATCTATAATTTTGGAACTTGTTACGTGTCTATAAAGAAAAATCTGCTTTTAAAAGGTAATGTATATGTAGGTAAATCTCCAAGACATCTTTAAATTTTTTTAAAGCAAGTTACACAATAAGGAGAACAATATGCTGCCATTTATTTTGAAAGAAAGGAAAGATCAAAGAAAGAACAAGGATATTATTATTGAAGAACACCCTTTATTTCTGTGACTCCACACATGTAAATTTGTTGTGTTTCTCCCTTGGTCCAAAAGATTTTTTTTTTTCTTTGGTCAGTCATTGGGCTTGAACTCAGGGTCTGGGTGCTGTCCCTGAGCTTTTGTGCTCAACGCTAGCACTCTACTACTTTGAGCCAGAGCTCCACTTCCAGCTTTCAGGAGATAAGACTCTTATGGACTTTCATGCCCAGACTGGCTTTGAAGAGCGATCCTCAGAGCTCAGCCTCCTGAGTAGCTAAGATTATAAGCATGAGTCACAGGTACCTGGCTAAAAATTTCTTCTTTTAGTATCATTCTTCTAAGTTCTTAAGGTTTCTTACCTGAAAGTGAAGAATGTTGTATTACAAAATCCTTAGGAAAAATGTCACTTTCCCTAGTGATCAGTATATTCACTGGCATAGTATTTTCCACCAAAGTTAGATATTCAATTTCTAGATACTCTTTTTTAAAATTACCCATTTATATAGTGATTTTGATATTAGCATTTTTCTTTTTTTTTTCTTTTTTCTTTTTTTTTTGGGGCGGGGGGGTTCGGTCGTGGGGCCTGAACTCTGGGCCTGAGGGAACGCTGTCCCTCAGCTCTTCAGCTCAAGGCTAGCACTCTACCACTTGAGCCACAATACCACTGAGCCACCTTCCCAGCCCCAGCATTTTTATTTTCATTTTTATTCTTTGTGTGCTAGTTGTGGGGCCTGAACTCAGGTCCCGAACACCATCCATGAGCTTCTTTTGTTCAAGGCTGGAGTTTTACCACTTTAGTCACAATTCTACATCTGTTTTTTTGATGGTTAATTAGAAATATAAGAGTCTGCCCAGGCTGGCATAAACGGCAATCCTCAGATCTTAGCCTCCTGAGGAGCTAGGGTTGCAGGCATAATCCACCAGTTCCTAGAATATTTTAAGAGACAGCCTGATATAATAGCACTGTTGCTGGACTAACAGTGAGGTGATCTGAGTTCTTACTTCAAGTCTGTTGGTGAATAGGTGGGCATTCTGGAACAAGCCATTTAATTTCCCTGGCTTTTTTCTTGTTGGTCAATAAATGGATTTCTAGACTTATGACTTAATGAGCCCTGTTCATTCACATATACCTTACATGATACAGGTCACTTGACATACAAGGTATGTGGGAAGTAAGGATTTTGCTCTTTATGTTTTGAAACAGGTAACAACCAAAGTCAAGCAACTAAAGGATTCAGTTACCTGCTCCCCAGGTAAGTTAGCCCAATAACCCAGTATGGCTTCTCAAAATTGATCTTTTTTATAATCATTTGTTTAAATACAAATGTAATACTTTTGCCCAATGAACGCTACTGATCCTAACACAAAAGAATTGAGTTACAGGTACCAACAAGCCAATTTGACCCTGCACATACAGTTTGTGCTAAGATCATTCATTTAGTATGATTAAAGAATTATGTAAGCCTGTTCTTTGCTATTTGTGGAGAAGGGAATGCAGGAGAAAGCTAGTCTGTACATCACACAAATGCACATGTACAGGTTCTCATATCATCTCCCCTCTCTACCACCATTCCCTATATCCAGCACTACCCTTCAGAATAAACAGCTCTCCTGAGAATGTATGTTACCCCAAATCCATTTCCTCCAAGATTAACTCATTTTGTGAGTTAATTTAAGTTCTCCAACCTAACCAAAAACAGGTCTGAGAGAGTAATGCAGACAAGCCAGGGGTTAATTAGCAACTCAGAGATCTCCAAAGTTGTCCCCAGAAAGGATTCAAGCATTGGGAGAGAGTGTTTCCAGATTCCTTTTCTGCCAACAAAGTGGTTTGGACAAAGAGGCAATGGTATAATAAGTAAGATAAGTCACCCTGCACGATTTTCTCGAGAAATGTTGATAGGTATTGAAGGCTAGAGCAAGTAACTGGATCTTCCTAGAGCATTGGCACAGGGGCCAAAAAGTGGTATGAAGACAATAGGAAATATGTAGGAATCTGAAATGTCACCTGTGGCTGGAAGTGGCCTTCACTGCCAGATGGTGGCCCCAGAAGCAGCATGGAGCAGAGAATAAATGGAGTCAGTGATTCACAGAGGAAAATGTAGAAATAGTATCATCGTCTGGCCACATCCAAATACCCTTCAGCTCTCTAAATACTACTAGCTCTTGGTCACCACTTCACTTCACTCTGTTTTACTTTATTTTCAAATAGCCTTTAAAGATTCAAATGATTTTGGAATTAAGTATCTGTTAAGTATATTAAAATTCTCCAAGAAGTGCTTTCATCCATCGAAGCCATAACACTGCTCTTTCCAAAATATTGGAAATTCTGAAGCTGTGCCCTAAGGTTGTAAATACTTTGAAGTAGAAAGTCGAGAGAAGCCGGGCGCCGGTGACTCACGCCTGTAATCCTAGCTACTCAGGAGGCTGAGATCTGAGAATCTCGGTTCAAAGCCAGCCCGGGCAGGAAAGACTGTGAGACTCCTATCTCTAATAAACTACTAGAAAACCGGAAGTGTCGCTGTAGCTCAAGTGGTAGAGCGCTCGCCTTGAGCTGAATAGCTGAGGGACAGCGCCCAGGCCCAGAGTTCAAGCCCCATGACCGACAAAAAAAAAAAAAAAAAAAGTTGAGAGAAATAAAGCTAGTTAATAGTCTATAAGGTGGAAGTGATCGTCTGCTACAGATAGGAACATATTTAAATAAAAGTATTTGGCCTTAAGCCTTGCAACTCGTGGCTCATGCCTGTAATTGTAGCTTCTCAGGGGGCCAAGATCTGAAAATCTCAGTTCAGCGCCAGCCAAGGCAGACAGAGCCACAAGACTTGAAGCATGGACTAGAAGCATAACTGAAGTGATAGCACTAGCCACAAGCAAAAACGCCAAGCCAGAGTGTGAGGCCCTGAGTTCAAGGCCCAATACATACACACACACACACACTTAATGACTACATAATAGTCCATAATATACACACTCCATATTCTGGAGGGGGGAGGTGATTTTGTTTTTCTAAAGACAAGGTCTCACTTCCTTGCACAGGTTGGCCTTTACCTCCCTGACTCAGTCTTCTGAGTAGCTAGGGGTTCCTTTTTGGTATTGCTGTGGTTTAAGCTCAGTTTTGCAGGTGCCCTACCACTTGAGCTATAGGCCTTCAGCCCCCATTTGTTTTAGTGTCGTGAATAATAGTCTCCAAAGAGGGGTGAGGAAAATGATCAAAAGACTGTGTTAGGATTTCTACTGAGTTCAGTTGTTGGTTTTTTTATGCTGATCTTGGGGTTTGAGATCAGAGCCTGACCACTATCCCTGAGCTGCTTTTGCCACAGCTCCACTCTGGCTCTCTTGGTAGTCTGAGAGGAGATTAAGTCTCATAGACTTTCCTCCCTGGGCTGACTTTGAACCATGGTCCTCAGATCTCAGCCTCCTGAGTAGTAAACTTGTAAGTGTGAGCCATTGGCACCCAGCTCTGAGTTTAATTTTTATGAAGGAATGAAAGGGAAGGGAGAAGAGGGGAGGGAAAGCAGGGAAGAGAAGGAAAAGGGATATTTAATATACAGTGTTAAACTCTCACTCTGTGTGTTATGTGTGTCACTGAGATTTCCTGAGGAAAAGTGGGAAATCCTGATGTTGCAGCCTTGTCACTGATCCTTTCATTTTCAGCATATTGCTGCAAAATATCAGGTTTTGTGGGGTTATAGATTGCTGTAGAATTACAGGGACACTCTTTCATAACCACAGGACTATCTTTTGTGACACAGGCATTAAAGTAACTCTGTGGGGGGGGGGGCTACATGTGTGCATGCTCATGCTGGTACTAGGGCTTGAACTCAGGGCCTGGGTGCTGTCCCTTAGTTTTTTCATTTAATGCTGGTACTATGTCACCGTGGAGCCACAGTTCCATTTCCAACTTTCTGGTGGTTAGTTGGGCATAAGAATCTCTTGGACTTCTCTCCCCAGTCTGGCTTTGAAACCAAGCAGCTTTAAAGTAATTTTAAGTAAGTACTTTTTTTTGTTTGTTTGTTTATTTATTGGCCAGTCCTGGAGCTTGAACTGAGGGCCTGGGCACTGCCCTGACCTTCTTTTGCTCAAGGCTAGCACTCTCCCACTTGAGCCACAGCACCACTTCTGGCTTTTCTGTTTATGTGATATTGAGGAATCGAACGCAGGGCTTTATGCATGCTAGGCAAGCACTCTAACTCTAAGCCACATTCTCAGGCCAATACTTTAAAAAAAAATTAAGCAACCAAGTATTTCTGCAAAATGGTGAGACACTACGTTGGAAATGAATTTTACAACTTGTTGGCGGGGGGGGGTGGTGAGGGTCAGGGAAGAAAGTGGGAGAAAATGAGGAAGAGAGTAACACTGTTCAAAAAGAAATGTACTCATTACCTTACTTATGTAACTGTGTACATAACCTTTACAATAAAATTTAAATTAAAAATGTTTCTGCAAAGAAAGATGACTTTTTAACAATGAATGGGAAAATAGTGGTTTTGAAAGATACTTCTGCTATAGAGAGACTATTTTGGAAACAGAGACCAGAAAGTAGTTTATTGAAGTGTTTCTACAGATTAGAAAAGTTGAAAGTGGACTTTAACCTGTAAATTCTGAAAACAGTGAATTCATTTGTTAAAAATATACTTGCTGTTTACTTAGCAAAAACACATGATTGGCTTAGGAAAGATTTTTATGAAAAGCTCTATAACTTGGATTGCAAAGTAATTGCTGACGTCTATTAGCACAGCCAACAGGATATCATGGTTGGATGGGTCTTTGTGAGTTATCTTCAAGTCTGAGGACTATTGACTATTGAAAATCAGGCTGGCGTGAGCCGGTGGCTCATGACTGAACGTCTGGCTACTCTGGAGACTGAGATCTGAGAATTGTGGTTCAAAGCTATCCTCGACAGACAAATTGATGAGACTCCTATCTCCAGTTAACTAGCAAAAACTAGAAGTAAAGGTATGGCTCAGGTGCTAGAGCACCAGCCATGAACAAAAAAGCTAAGCAGCACACACACACCCCAAAAAAAGATACCCTTACCTAATAAGTGCTAAGTCATCACTTCTCAAAGAGATCTCTGTGTTCTGTGGTTACATCCTGGCTGCATGTACCCATTATTCCTTAAAGCAATGAAAAGGCAAAGACTCAGAGTCAAAAGAAGGAGTCCCAGCTCATGCCTGTAATCCTAGCTGCTCAGGAGGCTGAGATCTGAGGATTGCAGTTCAAGGCCAGCCCAGGCAGGAAAGTTCATGAGACTCTTTTATCTCCAATAAAAGACCAGAAAACTGGAAGTGGCACTGTGGCTCAAGTGGTAGAGCGCTCACCTTAGGCTGATAGAGCTGACGGACAATGCCCGGGTCCAGAGTTCAAGCTCCACAACTGACAAAAAAAAAAAAAAAAACAGAAGAAGAAGAAGTGAGTCCCAGTTCCACCTCTGCTTCTCTCTAAGAGATAGGTAATGATACCTGTTTTTCTAGAATAATGGGTAAAGTAAGGTCAATAACATCTGCAAAATAGCTGGCTAGCACGCTGCCTGATATGTAAGTGGGTAGCCCCTGTTGTCATCGTCCCTGAGCTGACCTTGCCCTTTCCTGTGTGTTATGACCTCTTTCTTAGGAATGGTCAGACTCTCTGAACTCAAGTCAACAGTCCAGAATTCCAAATCCATCAAGATGGCCACAGCCTTGCCAGATGACATAATCACTCAGAGAGAAGACGCAGAGGGGGCAATGGAGGAGGAGGAGCAGGAGGCCAACGAACAGGAGGGAGCGGCCCCTGAAGTCCGGCCTCGGAGGAGGAAGCCAGTGAGGCCAGTTGAAGTGGTAACAAAGGTGGAGCCAGAGGAGAAGTTCAGGGGAAAGAGGCAGAAGGACTTTGATATGTCAGAACAAAATGAATCCAGTGACGAAGAGAGCCAGAAAAAAGAGAGAATTCATGCTGCAGAGGAGGCGTGGACTCAGAATCAACAGAAACTCCTGGAGTTGGCATTACAGCAGTACCCAAAGGGAGCCACTGACCGCTGGGACAAAATAGCCAAATGTGTCCCCTCTAAGAGTAAGGTGGGTGAAGTGAGGGAGGAGCGACAGCCAAGAGCTCCAGTAGAGTCCTACTGGTATGGCCGCAGCCACCTGAACCGCTCTCCACCTTTGTCCTCTACCCAACTATCCACATGATTCATTTCTACCCCTTTTTGCTCCTTAGCACGGACACCTGTTACTTAGTAGATGGGAAGGCGATAAACACTTCTAGGTTTAGTTATATAAATTTCCACGATACTTCAACCTGTCCACCTCTCTGGAGAACGCATCTGAGGTGGAGGCAGTCTGAGGGGAGCCTGGGGCTGGTGAGCATCATCATCCTCACCCTGAAAGGCAACAGCTGGGGAAGCGGTAGGCTGCACGCCAGGGAGAGATGTCCCATTAGATCACAAAGCTCTCTGGCTCCCTGACAAGGGGATAGCCAAAAAGGCTTGTAGGGTTGACTGTTGCTCTATCAGGACAACCCTCCATTCTACAAGGAAGCAGAGGTGGCCTGCCAAGAAGCTCTGAGCTAGGACTTACGTATGAGTTCAGTGCAAGAGTGACATCTAGGACCCACCTTGCCCTCAGTAATCTTCTGTTTGTAATTGGCTTCTATTCTGCCTATAGTTGTTGGTAGCTGCTAAAATGCATCTTCGGGTCATGTCGAATGCAGTCAGGAGGAAGAGTGGGGGGCCCTGCAGGACCTCGCCGGAGGTTCAGCCTTGCCCCCTCTGCTGTGTGATCTATGGGCGGAGGTGAGGAGATGAGCTCCCCAGCCCAGGTTTTTCTTCATGCATGGCCCCTGAGCCTTCTTTCCTTGGCTGTGCACTCACTCGGTCTAAGCCTTCAGAAACACCGGGAAATCAAAGGAGCCCATCTCCAGTGCCTTCTGTGACTATCACCCGGTTGCCTCTGGGCACAGTGATGCTCATTTACATGTTTCTTTTTTTAATTGAAATTCTGTGTTGGAAAAATCTAGCTTGTGGCCATGCGCGTCCCCGAGTGTGCAGATCTAGTTATCTGTCACCTACTTTTAAGATGATGAGGCTGAGAATTCCTGGAGAGGAAAAAGAAACGGTTAGCAGTTGATCTCCGTAGGAAGCACAGATCCTCCCATCCTCTCCAGCCACTTAGCCAGGAGTAATCATTGGCCCTGAGTTTCTCTCCTGTCTGTCGGGACATAGCATTTACATGTGTGATGAACTGGCATTGGCTTAGAACCAAGGCGCAGAACTGTGCATTCCTTGGAAGGTTGTTGCCTGGAGGATTGAAATCCTTTCTGTTTTTAGCCAAAAGTGAGCAGGATTTCTGTGCCCTGCAGGTGTCCTCTTGTAAGCCTCGACTTTAGGACAAGGTCCAGGAGGGCTGCCTGCTGTCCCCTGCTCCGGCGTGACTGTCGTAGCCCCTCGGCCAGTGCCACAGTGACATCCCAGAGCCACAGTGACCTCTCAGAGCCTCCAGCTCACAGAGGGCACAGCGCACCGCTGTCCTTCCCCAGTGCTGGGCTGGTTCCTTGCACTAAGCTGTTAGACACATGCGGCTGTTAAGGAAAGGCTGGTACTGATGCTGTGAGTGGTCTTTGGGGATGCAGAAAAGGCACTTACTGGATGAGACTCCTGGAACAGTGCTATGCTAAAACCTGGGAGAAGACTAATACCATTTCTTCCTGCTAGAAGCCCCTTGATGAAGTCACCTGCTCTAGAGCATAAGGCAGTTATCCTGGATAAGAGGTTTGAAGCACCATGGAGCTAGTACTGTCTGAACAGAAACAGATGGATTCAAGAAAGTACTTGTGATCATGTGTCAGCTCTAATGTGCCCCCCACACACACACACCAATATGTGACTGCTACAGATAGTCGAGTTCTAGGGCTAGTCATTCTGAAACCTCACTTTGGAGGTGATGGTGACCAAAAGAAAGAGCAGGAGGAAGAGTTCCCAAGGCCTGGCTGCCATGGCCCATCCAGGAAGGTTCCAGCAGCCCCCAGGGAGAGGCACAACCAAATGAGAATAGCACTGTGGCTGCCTGGCCACTCTGAAGTGATGTGTGATGAAATAGTGAGCTGTTCACGTGATCATTACAGCGAGCAAGCTGAAAGTCACCATCCTCACACTGATGTGCTCCACAGACAACTGCCCCTCAACCCCCACCTCAAGCTGACCTTGCAGCACACCTAAAATGTCTATCCAGACCTACCCATGGCCAGCTACACTTGCCCAGAAAGTTCCAGAGTGTTCTGGGCAAAGGTAATGAACACCAGGCTTTTTTTTTTTTTTTTTTGCTAGTAGTAGGCACAGCAAGCCCACCAACAGACCACAAGAAGGCTGGCGGTGTGGGAAGCGCAAAGTCATGGAAATAACTTCTTTGCCTCTCTCTTTTTTCCTACAGGAAGACTGTATCGCTAGGTACAAGTTGCTGGTTGAGCTGGTCCAAAAGAAAAAACAAGCTAAAAGCTGAATGTTCTGGAGGATGACATTCGCCTTCATTTTCCAAAATGAGTATTTCAAAAACTCTTATGCTGAAATTTGCATTTTGTACCTCAGTATTTCTATACGTCATGTGCCTTAGTAAACAAGACAAACAATAAATAATGTTTAAACAAATCTTGTGTTAAGGGGGAAGGATTTGGGATATTTGGCAGATTACTTCATTTCTCCTCACTGGAAGGATTCTTTTGGGAGAACATTTCAATTCAAACAGTATTGTATCTTCTGGCAACCAGGCAGCCAAGTTTTTGAAGGAAAACGTAAGTGAGCTAATGTATAAAAATTCAAGCTATCGTTTCTCTAAAGTGTGGCCACGGAACACAGTCATGTCATTTTGTGTCTGAGTACATATCTCTAGAACAAAATCTAAACCAAGTCTTAAGTTTGGGCAGCTTAGAAGTTGTCCTCAACAGGTAGATGTGCCCAGAAAGTGTGTAGCATTTTCAGGAACTAGAAAAACAGGCTCCTCTTTCGGGGGACCTAGGTTGAAGTCATCCTCCTATACTGTTAATTCTTTTTTACTGTTTGTGTTTAAACTATTACTGTCTGTATATGTTGCACTTGAAAATAGTTCAATGAATAACAGACAACTAGAGCACATGTGTATAAAGATGTCATTTTTCTCTAAAGATTGACATGAGTTAAAGTCTCCTAAAGAAAACTTGGGGTGGCAGAAGTCACCTCTCCCTAGGAGAACATGGGACCAGGTAAGCCCCAAGTCCTTCCCTTACCTCTGAGTGGAGATTGTGGGGAACTTACCTACCCCTCAGAGGCTCAGCTAGTTCAATCTAAAAGGGTCTTTGTAAAATTGATAGACAGCAAGTGCCCCACTAAGGGCTCTGTGGTCTTTTTGGGGTTCGCGGATCCGCCTTTGTCATTAGGCAGCTGGTAGTGTGCCAAGACAGTTCCTGTGAACGTGTGGACGTGGCCCACTTCTCCATTCACTTTAGGGAAGCTTCAGGGAAGTAAAGCAGCACCTGCCCGGCGGGAGCACGAGCAAGGTCTTCCACAGCTGTGACATTCTGTCAGCATCCTGCCATTCCTGTCCCCTGCTATAAATCCCATCACAGGTTTTGGGGCGTTTTATAACATGCAGTGAGTTGATACTAGGATCCCTCACCTTGTTTACCATCTGCGTCTTTTCTAGACTTCTTAAGAATGTATGGCTCCAGCATGGTTTCTACTGATGCCCGTTTCTGCCTTCCTGGTAAGAGTCGTTCTCCATGCCCCTCCCCTGGGTGCTCTGGAAGCTGAGGGGTTCGGTTAAGGACTAAGGGAGGACGAGGGAACAGGTGTGGGCTTCTGGCTCCCAAAGGCTGCATGAGAGCCAGGCCAGGCCAACCATGCTCACTCGGCCCCTTCCCCAAGTGCAGGAAAGTCCTCCTGGTCCTTCAGATGCTCCCTGCCTCCCTGCACACCACCTCCGCACGGGGCCTTTGCTTTCCTTGCTGTCTCAGGAGAGTCAGCTGCTCCTTCGTTTTTGGGTTGTTTGTTTTGTTTTTTGTTTTTGAGAAAAGGAGGGAAGTTGCCATGTGATTTTTAAAATTTCCCTTGTTAGATGAGACTTACCTGACCAAATATGAACGTACACTGTCGCAGGTGGAGGGCCTTGTGGGCCCTGCCCCTACTCTGCCCAGACCTTTTGGTAGCTGCTCACCAGGCCCTACACAAGGCCTCAATGAGGGGATCTTCTTCTAGCACCCACAGTACATTCCTGGGAGTGCCATGAGCAGTGGGGGACTTGGCTTTCTGAAGATGAACCTGACACTTAAAAATAGCCAGAACTGCCAGGCACTGGTGGCTCATGCCTGTGATTATAGCTACTCAAGATCTGAGGATCACAGTTTGAAGCCAGCTTGGACAGGAAAGTCTGTAAGCCTCTTATCTCTAGTTATCTACCAAAAATTTGGAAATGTCACTGTGGCTTAAAGTGGTAGAGTGCTAGCCTTGAGCACAAAAGCTCAGGGGCAGCACCCACACTCCCCAGAACTGGCACATGTACACACACACAGGCCGAACCCCCAGGAGAACATCTCACTGTGGGACAAGCGCCATGTCTCCCAGGATGACCTCCGTTTGGGCTCCCCTCTTCCTCCTCAGAGGTGATTTAAGGAAGGAGCAGACTTGAGGCCAGAAGTAAATCTTGAATCTAGACCAGTGAGTGAAGGAAGGAAGAGGGCCAAGATGGGCCAAATGGTTGCATGTGGTTCGTGCAGAGGCCAGCTCCAGCCCATGCCCCGTGTGGGCAGAACTTACCAGATCACTCTGTGTATGGGGGTGGCTAAGAGATTTCAAACTTTGCTTTGCCTTTGGGTTAATAAGCCCCAGGTGGAGTTGGTATGTGCATCTGCCCCCAGCCTCTGAGGCACCCTGTGCTCAGGCAAGCCAGGCCCAGAGACCCACCTGGGCCAGAGCTACGCTACCACCCCAGCTGCACCGTCCAGGTGCTCTCGGGCCTCTGCAGCCTTCCATAGCTCAAGGTCGGTCCCTTAGCGCGAAGTGTTTCTTCACCTCCATGAATGGTCCCAAAACAATGCCGACACCTACATAATGGCTAGGAAATGAGTGGAATGTCTCAGTTCTCCCTTTAGACCCTCGCTTCTGAGCGGGCAGCATGGGGTGCCAGGCAGGGGTCAGCCCGGAGTGTGAAGGTAGGGAAGCATGTGCCCTGATTGGCATTTCTTCCTGGGAAAGGCTCCTGTAGAGCCTGGCCAAAGCGCTCTGTGGGTTGACAAGAGCGGTGAGTGACTGCGGCAGCAAGGGTCTGAAGTCTACAGGGAGGAGGGTGGTCGTTGCCCCCTCACCCTCTCTCCCAGACCACCCTGCCTCCACTCCACCTGTAGCTGGGAGCCAGAGGAACTTGCCAGGGCCATTACAGCAATGCGTGTGGCCTTGGGCTTTCCCTGTTCAGAGCTGAATGAACATACATGCAGAGCAGCTACTGGCTTCTCTCTGGTATGGTGACCCCAGCATCTGAAAGAGTAGGTCCACAGGGAGCTGAGCCAAGTGGCTCAGTCTGTGCCCCATCTTCTCCCCCACCGTAGCTGCCTGGGACCAGGCCAGAGAGGCTTTCACCTAGCCAGGCAGGCTGCTGCTCCCATGCTGGCTCCCATTCACACGGGAGCTGCCACGGAATCCTAGCCACTAGAGGTGTTCTGAAGGAAATGTAGCCCTATTGCCCAACTGGGTGGCCCAAATCAAGAGCCCCGGCAGCTGGAAAGCAGGTCCTGGGTCCTCATGAACTGGGAATGGGGGGGGGGGGCAGCAACTCACCTCTGGGCAGAGCACTCGCCTAGCATGTGCTGCAAGGCCCTTGCTGGAACCCACCCCAGCATGGCGTGGGGGGGCAGGGGAGGGAGAAAAAGACAACAGGGAAAGAAATTCTAACTTTAAATAATGACACAGGCCAAGATTTGTGTGGATAGTTGCTCATTTATTTTCTGCCTCTAAGTCATAAAGGAAAATGAAGTTTGTGTGTGTGTGTGTGTGTGTGTGTGTGTCTGTAATTACTCAAAAAATCGAGGGTGAAATAGCTCCAGCTCTTTCAGACCTTCTTGGTCCATGATTGGGCCACATACTTGACTTAGTTTCCCTTAAGAGCTTGGCTTAAAGAGCCCCCACCAGACCTGTTCTGTGGCTGCAGGCAGATCTGTCTTGTCTGGTTAAGCTGGGGCCAGGTGCAGTCCAGGGCAGTTTCCTGGTACATAGGAAGCCCTGGGTTCCTTCCCCAGCAATGAGAGGATTTAAAAATTGGGTGTGGACATTTCAGCCTGGCCTGTTGGCCTGAGAGCAATGCCAGGGCAAGCCTTGGGTGTGGGCAGCCTGCTGCCACCCTGACCCTCTGCTGCTGTTGGCAGCACCCAGTGGCAAAGCCCAACACCTGCGTTCTCACAGCAAGCTGCTGACACTCGGCAGATGGTGCTGTGGGAGGCTGAGGCTGGAGGATAGGAGACACAGGCCTATAAAGCAGTAGAAAGGTAGCCCTGACCCCAGGAATCTGAATCCCTGACTTCAAATGCAATGCAGCCTGTAGGGGTGCTACAGTTTATGTATGAAATGTCCCCACAGGCAAGTGTATTGAAGCCTAGGGAGTCAGCTGGCGCTGTGTTGGGGGTCTCAGTAGTATCTTGCCCCTAGCCTCTCCTCTGCTATTTCCTGTCTGAGAACCTCCCACCATGTTCTGCGTACTGACCAGACTGAACCTCCAAACTACACACAATTTCTCCTTTAAGTTGTTCTCGCAAGTATTTCGCCACTGTGCTACAAGTCATGCAGGGCAGGGCAGGAAGGTAAACCCCTGTAGAATGAGATGTGTGACTTTCTCCAAGACCATAAAGCCAGCCCATCCTTTCCCTAGCACGGGAGCTCACAGCTGATCAAGGTAGGAACTGGCCATCCTATACCCTGACCTCAGCCTTCCAGCTTCCAGCACCGTTGATAAAAGTTTCTGTTGCTCGTAATTTTGTTAAAGCAGGCTCACCTGACTGGTTTTATGCAGCTCTGTAGAGTGCAGCGCCCGCCCAGTGATAATGCCACTGTACCGTTAGTTGCCTTTGCCACATGCCGTGCTCTTTACACCCTTGTCTTGTCTCTTGTTTCTTTCCTACTATACTGCTCCTGTTCGTGTCACTTTCTAAGAACTGTGCCTTTTGGAGGCTCACCTTACCTCACCTGATGACTTGGTATAGTTCATCTTTGAACTTTCTCCAGTCTTTGATTCTTTGGGGAATGAAATGAATGTAAATAAAGCCTAGATTTCTGAATCATCCTGATTTCTAAACATTTTGACCTCTATACCTCTGAACTTCTGCCTTTTCTCTTACTAGTCTCCCAGCACCTCTCCAATGATCTTTGCTGTCAATAGTCTCACACGGAGGTTGTATTCTACAGCCCTTGATCTAAATACTAGCAGAATTCATGCAAGGCACTGTGTCCTTCCCTGATTTCCAAAACTACCAGACAGACCTGCAACTCTACCTCTCTCCAGGCCCTCTCCTAAAGGGACTCTATCAATCTCTCCTTCAGAGCCAACTGATGAGCTACCACCCAAAGCAGGGTGTGCTGTGCTAATCCTTGTCTGTAACCACACTTTCTGCCTCTTTCTC